CATAGCTTCAGTGCACAGTGAACCAGTAACACCTAGCTTCAGTGCACAGTGAACCAGTAACACCTAGCTTCAGGGCACAGTGAACCAGTAACATCTAGCTTCAGTGCACAGAGAACCAGTAACATCTAGCTTCAGTGCACAGTTAACCAGTAACACCTAGCTTTAGTGCACAGTAAACCAGTAACACCTAGCTTTTGTGCGCAGTGAAACAGTAGCACCTAGCGTTAGTGCATAGTGAACCAGTAACACCTAGCTACAGTGCACAGTGAACCAGTAACACCTAGCTCCAGGGCACAGTGAACCAGTAACATCTAGCTTCAGTGCACAGTGAACCAGTAACATCTAGCTTCAGTGCCTAGTAAACCAGTAACATCTAGCTTCAGTGCACAGTGAACCAGTAACATGTAGCTTCAGTGCACAGTGAACGAGGAACATCTAGCTTCAGTGCACAGTGAACCAGTAACACCTAGATTCAGTGCACAGTGAACCAGTAACACCTAGCTTGAGGGCACAGAGAACCAGTAACACCTAGCTTCAGTGCACAGTTAACCAGTAACACCTAGCTTTAGTGCACAGTAAACCAGTAACACCTAGCTTTTGTGCGCAGTGAAACAGTAGCACCTAGCGTTAGTGCATAGTGAACCAGTAACACCTAGCTCCAGGGCACAGTGAACCAGTAACATCTAGCTTCAGTTCACAGTAAACCAGTAACATCTAGCTTCAGTACATAGTGAACCAGGCATAATTGCCTTTATCAAGAGAGAAACGGGTCTTCGAAATGTTCGGCTTTTTTAAACACTGGTTATGATCATGAATAATTGTTATTTAATCTACATGCAGTTTAATGTTATTCAGACTGGGAGGGAGTGGGGTCCTTTGAGGCGTGTACAATCTCTTATGTTACATAACGTCTGCTCTAGAGCCACCAAACTTGACGAATTTTCTTAGGCCTGGAGTGGTGGGGTAGCAGTCTGAAGTGAGCACGCATGTTAACAACATCACTGCTAAGGCCAAACAGACATTGGGAGTGATTAAGTGAAATCTGTGGTCATGCTCAACAAGAGTAAAATCACTTACATACACGTCGCTTGTAACACCAGACCTAGAATATGCCGCGACAGTGTGGGATCCATATAGAAAGAAATACTGTTTTCCAATTCTCTGTACTATCAGAAGAAACTATACAGCTTTGTACGTTATGCACTGTGCCGCACTACTTTGTGTCTGAACTATATAAACAACGGATACTTTGTTATGCGACCTTGAGTAGAAACTCCGTTGATTTGTCTGTAACTTGCTATTGGGACATTGTTATGCAAATATTGTTAAGCTTTTTGCTAAACGTTTTCTACTGCGTTTTAACGATTTAGACACTAAAAGTAAGCAAAAAGGATAAGCAAAAGATTACGATGTTTAACACTCAGTTCAAAAGACTTATCTAATAATGTCTATAAAATACCCTTACAAGGGGTGAATATAGGACTGAGTTTCTTAGTAACTCTGTTTTAAATAATGCAACTATACAAAAACTCGTCTTTCTACATGTATTTAGCCAAATAATTTGTGACTTTTGTAATCAGTGCGTTATCTGAATCCTGGTGGGAGGAAAAATCATAGTTTCAGCAAACCTAGAGCATTTGTAACAGAGAGAGTCTAGAGAGATGGCATGGTCAATCTGGGACTCTCCGGCCCTGGTATTGGTTCCAGTGGTTTGGCTTTGTTAAGTAAAATGACACAACACTCGAACTATCCAAACCATGTAAATGTTGTGGAAGATTGTTCAACATTTTCTAGCAACTGGGCTTTAACTAAACATAAAAAGCATTTAACCGAAATTACTAAAATTTCCATAAACCGTTTGTAATAAACTCGTTGCCGTCGCAATCTATTAATTTTCTTTAATTAGTATGAAATTGTTGGTAGATACATTTTTGGAAAAGTCACTAAATTTTAAGGTTCTAGCGCAAGGCGTTCAGGTGCTATCTGAGATGGAAGTTGGCGTGGGCCTCAAAAGCCCCCCCCCCCCCGTCTGAATAGGGTTACATGTTTATCCACCAGCAGAAACATACCTTTTAAGCCAGTCAGAATAACTTTAGTTAGTACACTCGTTTAGAATGCCTCAGCTTGTTGTTCTTGTAGGGTAAGGTGCGTCCTCCGGTAGCTGATGCCGTGTGAAAAACAGCCTAAAATTGGTCTTACGTAAATGATGGGGTTGATTGTCTGAAGCTGGCTATTTGAATGATATCAATATGTACGTTCACTTTAAAAATTGACCATTATAATGTATGTACGTTTACAAAATACATGTTTACCTACACTGCAATGTAAAACATACATTTCTGACCCCTCAAAAAAACTTCATCAATGGGTATTGTTTTACCTTTCCCTTGATAGAAGGTTATCTTTTATATAGCCTTTTAATAGATATTTTGAGTTATGGGTTGTGGTTTAGTACGATGAAGTTATAGATTTTTGTATGGTTCATTCCGATAAAATTATTTCAAACATGGCAGCCCAAACTGCTCACTTGCATCAAGGCATCACATTACATTGAGACATGTTTACTGATGAAACTGACTGTCAGTATTTCCCGGCTATCAAATAATACTTGCGGCATTTGGAAGTTTAGTGAAGGTAAACATCATTAAACATAATATATTCAAGTCATGACCCTACTTTCATGATTTATAAGATGTTAGAATGTCGTGCGTATCGTTCTTCTTTAAAGATAAGACTGCCATAGGGTGGAGAATATGATCAACTGATATAATTCATGCAAATTAGGCTCTTAAGATCTTCTTTGCGAAATCAACGAGTAAAAATTTATACTTCGTCCACCAGTATGGTTAGGATCATTTGACGAAGATATGAAGTCGTGAAAATATTTCTATAATAAACATCGTAAACAACAAATGTACAAAAGCTCTTATGCCTTATGTTCGCATGAGGCCTCCTAAGTCTCATTAAAACAGCACTGAAATTTCAGCACTAGACAGGAACACGAAAATTTTGTAGACTTGCTAATTTAGGCTAGCTTCATTGACATATTGATATCAATGGGCTTTTTGCCTTGAATCCATGTAGGGTGATTATAAAATGTAAATGTATTGTCTCTGCTTTCCACACTCCAGTTGTATAGAGCTTATTCACCACACGTCATCATGACGTCACCACCCCTCATGTCCCGTGCGACGCCATTTTGGGGTCCATCTCTACAGCGAGTTTCCAGGCGTTGAAATGGCCGACAAACGTTAGGTAAACTGTCCTTTGTCATATTACACGAAGAGTTTGCCACCACTCATACCTCTCGTTACTGGAACAAAATAAAATCTGTTGGGATTGACCCGTTTTGGTTGAGTTTTGATCAGTCTGATCGAGACGGCGTCTACCGCCAGCGGAGTCCATTGACGCGACTTAGCTTCGTATTTGGTACTCACGGGGCAGAAGTCTTAACACACAGGATCGGTTCAAACCCTTTAAGAATCTGGAAGCGTTGTATCAGGATGTGTAGAGAGTGTTGTGGGACAGTTTCGTGGTGAAGTACGTTGTAGTCGGGATACGCAAAAGGTCGCTATTTTGGAACAGCCCCGGACTGTGTCTGGATAATAACAAACAAATGCGGGGCCATCGGCCGCCATCCACAGTCCGCACTGCCGCGACTGTGGCTGAACAAGGTGAGTGTTACAAGTTGCCAGTGCCCTGTTCTACATGGACATTTACCACAGAGTAAAGGGACAGGTAGCTTCAACAGATTTAACGTGGTCATGGCTACCAACGTTGACATCTACAGCCCCCTACGCCAGGGTAAAACGCACCGATTTCTGATCAGCAAAAAAAGCCGATAAAAGCCGATCTTGAGAACATGAGACGTGGTCATGGAGCCAGACCAACCCCAAGGACAATGTTACGAACAAGAAGAGTGTTCAAAACGTAGATTGTGGCCCAAAATACGCAACTATCGCCAAGAGTTTGCATAGCGTACCATAGCGATAGGCACCATGTTGCACCCCCTAATGGCGGACAATGCTCGTTGCCGGGGGAAGAGTCACGTGACCATCTGTGGTGAATAAGCCCTATAGGGGAGGGGCCAGTCAATCGGCATGGGGCATGGTCGTAAGGACATTCCAGGGGTATATTCTGAGCTGTATGTGGCATTGTGTAAATTTGGGGGTTTTCAAAAGTATAGTATGGTCAGGTCTATTAAAATGTTCCAATTTTACATCAGAGTGATAGAACAGACTATTGTATACAGAGTTTCCAAAAGACAGACCCCTTTTAAGTTTGCTAAAAGTCCGCTAAAAGGTCTGGTTAAACCCATGTTTTGGAAAACCGACTTTCGGTAATGGATGTTTGGACCAAAGTAGTTTGTCCCAGATAATATATTTTCAAAGGTCTCTCGTCGTTGGATTCACTGTGGTTTTAAAGCTCTCCAAAGCTAAGGTGCAACGGATTATCTCATATCGGGTATGACGCAGGTGTTCCTTTATATCAGTATGCCAGCGTCACCGTGTGGGAATGGGCAGTTTAATTTTCAGCACAACGGGACTAAAAGATTTGGATGTTTTACTTTGGCAACTCTTTCTTTTGGAAGTTGTTGTGCTGAAATTGAAACTGCCTATTCCCACGCCATGCTTAAGCAAAGGAAAATCTAATTTATCTAATTCAGAAGAAACCCTTTGGTTGATATTGAATAATGAACGATAATCTCTGTCTTGAGTGTTCGACCAACTAAAAAAATGCATCGGCCTCGCTGAACGTGATTAAACATCCAGCACGTACGGTACTGATCCCAGCTTAACACAAACATCTAATTACATGTCCATTGTTGAGAGACTTCCCAACACATAACAGTGATAATTGAATTAAACTATTGTTGTGCTCAGCCGTGTGCCGAGGAAACATCGTGCCTATAAATAGAGGCGGAAAAGTTCAGTCCGAACCCATTCACTCACAACCGATCCTCCTCGCCGTTACAAGCATCAGCAGACCAGGTAGTATTTGCAGAATTTGCACAGTTTGAACGAGGCTGCACAGATGGCGTCTCGGGCACAGTTGTGTCTCGTCCTGCTGCTGCTGGCCGGGATGACGTCCTACAGTGAGGCATGGTTCACGCGGACCCGGACCCGGACATCCGAAAGTACCGGCGAAAACACCGAGGCCACATCTGGACTACAGCAATTCTTCGGCTCCATGATTAACCGTGACGGCGGTAGACAGACGTCGAAGGGACAACCACTTGCCCCTGCCCCTGACCCTGACCACGAGCAGGTAGAATTTGTGCTTTTATAGATAAGTTGGACATTACATTTTTTCACCCTTTTTTTATTATATAAGTACATACACTCCCATGTATGGTTATGACGAACTTTTTCTGCTCCCCACTAGACCTCTGTGACGGAGAATGAAGAAGCACCGGCACCAGAAGGTAGGTTGACAGCTGTTTGAATTTGTCTTTCAGTGGTACTTTGAAAAAGGCTACATGCGGTACGAGTAGTGTTTGCCACCACGGATGAAAGAAAAAAAGAAGTAGTCCTACAATTTTTCAAATCTTGCGTGATACTCAGGCACATCGTTTTTTCTAGTAAGTAGCAATTGCAGTAACTGCTGTATATAATAATTTCATCAAGAATAGAAAGCATTTACGTGTACGATGTCCTTTGATGACAGCTCCAACTCGAAGGAAGACAGGAGGGAGTTTTTGGGAGAACATGTTCTCAAGCGTCCTTGACAGAGCTCCTGAGAACACACAAGAACTCAGCCCAGGTTCGGATGGCTCAGCCAGGGAAAACAACTATCTGGTAAGAGAATTTTTATTCTTTCGGCTACAATAAAATCCCACGAAATTACCCGTCATATGGCTTAAGGCCTTGAGCTGGCAAAATTCTGGCTAAATCAAATTTCTTGCAAACGTTGGTTCTACAATAACTCCCGTTGTTTTTGTTTGTTGTCTAAATCACAGAGAATGGAATATCTGTTTTAATCCGTGAGATTGCATGTAATCAATGATTTGATGAAATTACATATAGTTAAACGTTTGCTTATGAAGACTTTTTTCTGCTCCCCCATAGACTTCTGTACCGGAGAATGAAGCCGCACCAGACACACCAGACGGACCACACGCATACGAACGTAGGTTTACTTCTGTATGTATTTGTCGTTCAGTGGGTACTTTAAAAAAGGTGCACAGCGTGTTTGCCACCACAGGTGAATAAAAAGAAGTGGTAGTCCTTAGGCTACCATTTCAAATCTTGCGTGATACTAGTACTCAGGTACGCCGTGCATTTTCGTTGTTGTTTCTAACTTTCTAGTAAGTTGTACTGAATAATTATAATTAAGAATGGAAAGCATTTACGTGTACTATTTCCTTTGATGGCAGCGCCAACTCGAGAGAGGACAAGAAAGATCGAGAGTTTGTGGGGGAACATGCTCGAAAGCGTTCCGAAAATACAAGAACTCATTCCACAGTCCGGTGCGGATGGCTCAGCCGGGGAAAACAACTTTCTGGTGAGAAAATTCTTCTTCTTTCGGCTACAATAAAATTACACGAGATGACCCGTTATATGACTTAGGGCCTTGAGCTGGCAACATGCTGGCTAACTAAAATTCCTTGCAAACGTTGGTTCTACGATAACTCCCGTTATTTTTGCTTGTTGTCTAAATCACCGAGAATGGAATATTCGTTTGAATCCGGTTAAGATTGCATGTTATCAATTTGATTTGAATAGTAAAATGTTAATGTTATCATTTAGTTCTCTTTCTCTGGAGAGATATCGTTTATTTTTCCAACTCATACAGCAAGTCTTCGACTCATTGAAGAACCGTGACGATGGAGGACAGATGCCGAGGGATCGGCTGCCCCAGGGTGAAGCACCTGCCCCTGACCCCGAGCAGGTAGAGTATGTGTTCCTATGAAGGAGATGGGTATTAGGATTTTATCAAATATTTGCACCCTGAAATTACATATAGTTACACGTTTGCTTATGACGATCTTTTCTTTGCTCCTCCTTAGACCTCTGTGACGGAGACTGAAGCCGCACCAGACGCACCAGAACGTAGGTTGACTGCTGTTTGTATTTGTCGTTTAGTGGGTACTTTGAAAAAGGTGACGGCGTGTTTGCCACCACAGGTGAAAGAAAAGAAGTAGTCCTTAGGCTACCATTTTCAAATCTTGCGTGATACTCAGGCACATCGTACATCTTCGTTGTTGTTTCTAGTAAGTTGTACTGAATAATTTAAATCAAGAATAGAAAGCATTCACGTCTACGGTTTCCTTTCATGGCAGCTCCAACTCGAGAGAGGACGAGAAAGATCGAGAGTTTGTGGGGGAACATATTCTCAGGCGTCCGCGACAGAGCTCCTGAGGAAAGACAAGAACTCAGCCCAGGTTCGGAAGGCTCAACCAGGGGAAACAACTTTCTGGTAAGAGAATATTAGTTCTTCTTTCTTCGGCTGGAAAACAAAATACACAGGATTGTCCGTTATACGATTAAAGGCCATAAGCTGGACACATGCTGGCTAACTAAAATTCCTTGAAAACATGTTTGTTGTTCAAATCATCGAGAATGGAAACCGTACGAGATTGCATGTTATCAATATGACTTTATAAAATGTTAATGTTATGTGTTAATTTTCTTATGGGGTTTGTATTCTCGATCGGTTCAAAGCTTCTCTTTTTTGTTTCCATGATCTCCCTCAATCTTCCTAATTGTTGGCATCTTTCCGTCTCGAAAGGCGATAGAGTTCACGCCTGATATGGTGATGTAAAATCACAAAACGGAAGATTACTTTTCAATGTCGTTGAGACAATAGATAAAGGTGTCTAGGATGCACATTTCTCCATTATTGTATATTCGGAAAATATTCTGGACATGCGTTTATTCTTGTATCTTTTTTATCTTCTCAGTCGTCTATTCGTGAGCGGTATCAACAGGCAATGAGAGACCGGTCTGAACAGGAGCAACCGAGACCAGAAGAGCGGTACCGGTGGTACCATCGAAAACAACAGGGAAGCGAAGAGGGAGAAACACCAGAGGTGGTACAAGAGGAAAGGCTGGAAGAAGACGTAGTGGAAGAAGAGGAAATGTCGGGACAACACGAAGTGGAAGAGGAGGAGGTGGTGAAAGCACCAGACGCACCAGAACGTAGGTTGACTGCTGTTTGTCTTTGTCGTTTAGTGGGTACTTTGAGAAAGGTGACAGCGTGTTTGCCACCACAGGTGAAAGAAAAGAAGTAGTCCTTAGGCTACCATTTTCAAACCTTGCATGAAACTCAGGCACATCGTACATCTTCGTTGTTGTTTTTAGGAAGTTGTGCTGAATAATTTTAATCAAGCATAGAAAGCATTTACGTCTACGGTTTCCTTTGATGGCAGCTCCAACTCGAGATAGGACAAGAAAGATCGAGAGTTTGTGGGGGAACATGCTCTCAGGCGTCCGCGACAGAGCTCCTGCGGACACACAAGAAACCAGCCAAGGTTCGGATGGCTCAGCCAGGAAAAACAACTTTCTGGTAAGAGAATATTAGTTCTTCTTTCTTCGGCTGCAAAACAAAATACACAGGATTGTCCTTTATACGATTAAAGGCCATAAGCTGGACACATGCTGGTTAACTAAAATTCCTTGAAAACGCAGCGTCTGTTGTTCAAATCATCGAGAATGGAAACCTGGGGAGATTGAATTTGATCAATTTGACTTTATAAAATGTTAATGTTATGTTTTGATTTTTTGATGGGGTTTGTATTCTCGATCGGTTCAAAGCTCCTCTTTCTTGTTTCCATGATCTCCCTCAATCTTCCTAATTGTTGGCATCTTTCCGTCTGGGGCCGACGATAGAGTTCACGCCTGATATGGTGATGTAAAATCTCAAAACGGAAGATTACTTTTCAATGTCGTTGAGACAATAGATAATGGTGTCTAGGATGCACATTTCTCCATTATTGTGTATTCGGAAAAAATACTGGACATGCGTTTATTCTTGTATCTTCGTTATCTTCTCAGGCGTCTATCCGTGACCGGTATCAACAGGCAATGAGAGCCCGGTCTGAACAGGAGCAACCGAGACCAGAAGAACGGTACCGGTGGTACCATCGAAGACAACAGGGAAGCGAAGAGGGAGAAACACCAGAGGTGGTGCAAGAGGAAAGGCTGGAAGAAGACGCAGTGGAAGAGGAAATGTCGGGACAACACGAAGTGGAAGAGGAGGAGGTGGTGAAAGCACCAGACGCACCAGAACGTAGGTTGACTGCTGTTTGTCTTTGTCGTTTAGTGGGTACTTTGAAAAAGATGACAGCGTGTTTGCCACCACAGGTGAAAGAAAAGAAGTAGTCCTTAGGCTACCATTTTCAAATCTTGCGTGATACCCAGGCACATCGTACATCTTCGTTGTTGTTTTTAGGAAGTTGTACTGAATAATTTAAATCAAGAATAGAAAGCATTTACGTCTACTATTTCCTTTGATGGCAGCTCCAACTCGAGAGAGGACGAGAAAGATCGAGAGTTTGTGGGGGAACATGGTCTCAGGCGTCCGCGACAGAGCTCCTGAGGAAAGACAAGAACTCAGCCCAGGTTCGGAAGGCTCAACCAGGGAAAACAACTTTCTGGTAAGAGAATATTAGTTCTTCTTTCGTCGGCTGGAAAACAAAATACACAGGATTGTCCTTTATACGATTAAAGGCCATAAGCTGGACACATGCTGGCTACCTAAAATTCATTGCAAACTTGATTGTTGTTCAAATCGTCGAGGATGGAAACCGCGGGAGATTGCATGTTATCAATTTGACTTCATAAAATGTTAATGTTGTGTATATGTTGATTTTGTGTATGTGTTAATTTTCTAATGGGGTTTGTATTTTCGGTCGGTTAAATGCTTCTCTTTCTTGCTTCCATAATCTCCCTTAATCTTGCTAATATGGTAATGTAAAATCACAAAATGGGAGCTTACTTTTTAATGTCGTTGAGACAATAGGCTATGGTGTCTAGGATGCAGATTTCTCCATCATTGTGTATTCGTAAAATATACTGGATTCTTGTATCTTCGTTATCTTCTCAGGCGTCTATCCGTGAGCGGTATCAACAGGCAATGAGAGACCGGTCTGAACAGGAGCAACCGAGACCAGAAGAGCGGTACCGGTGGTACCATCGAAAACAACAGGGAAGCGACGAGGGAGAAACACCAGAGGTGGTGCAAGAGGAAAGGCTTGAAGAAGACGCAGTGGAAGAGGAAATGTCGGGACAACACGAAGTGGAAGAGGAGGAGGTGGTGGAAGCACCAGACGCATCAGAACGTAGGTTGACTGCTGTTTGTATTTGTCGTTTAGTGGGTACTTTGAAAAAGGTGACGGCGTGTTTGCCACCACAGGTGAAAGAAAAGAAGTAGTCCTTAGGCTACCATTTTCAAATCTTGCGTGATACTCAGGCACATCGTACATCTTCGTTGTTGTTTTTAAGAAGTTGTACTGAATAATTTAAATCAAGAATAGAAGGGATTCACGTCTACGGTTTCCTTTGATGGCAGCTCCAACTCGACAGAGGACAAGAAAGATCGAGAGTTTGTGGGGGAACATGGTCTCAGGCGTCCGCGACAGAGCTCCTGCGGACACACAAGAAACCAGCCAAGGTTCGGATGGCTCAGCCAGGGAAAACAACTTTCTGGTAAGAGAATATTAACTCTTTTCCCTTCGGCTACAAAAAATACACAAGATTGTCGAAATGCGATTAAAGGCCATAAGCTGGACACATGCTGGTTAACTAAATTTTTTTTAAAACGCAGCGTTTTTTGTTCAAATCATCGAGAATGGAAACCTGGGGAGATTGAATTTGATCATTTTGACTTAAAATGTTAATGCTATGTTTTAGTTTTCTGATGGGGTTTGTATTCTCGGTCGGTTAAATGCTTCTCTTTCTTGTTTCCATGATCTCCCCCAATCTTCCTAAGTGTTGGCATCTTTCCGTCTCGGGAGACGATAGAGTTTACGCCTGATATGGTGATGTAAAATCACAAAACGGAATATTACTTTTCAATGTCGTTGAGACAATAGATAATGGTGTCTAGGATGCAGATTTCTCCATTATTGTGTATTCGGAAAAAATACTGGATATGCGTTTATTCTTGTATCTTCGTTATCTTCTCAGGCGTCTATCCGTGAGCGGTATCAACAGGCAATGAGAGACCGGTCTGAACAGGAGCAACCGAGACCAGAAGAACGGTACCGGTGGTACCATCGAAAACAACAGGGAAGCGAAGAGGGAGAAACACCAGAGGTGGTGCAAGAGGAAAGGATGGAAGAAGACGTAGTGGAAGAAGAGGAAATGTCGGGACAACACGAAGTGGAAGGGGAGGAGGCGGTGGAAGTGGAAATGCCGGAAGAACACGTAGTGGAAGAGGAGGAGGTGGTGGAAGTGCCGAAAGAACACGTAGTGGAAGAGGAGGAGGCGGTGGAAGTTGAAATGCCGGAAGAACACGTAGTGGAAGAGGAGGAGGTGGTGGAAGTGGAAAGGCCAGAAGAACGCGTAGTGGAAGAGGAGGAGGCGGTGGAAGTTGAAATGCCGGAAGAACACGTAGTGGAAGAGGAGGAGGTGGTGGAAGTGCCGGAAGAACACGTAGTGGAAGAGGAGGCGGTGGAAGTGGAAATGCCGGAAGAACGCGTAGTGGAAGAGGAGGAGGCGGTGGAAGTGGAAATGCCGGAAGAGCGCGTAGTGGAAGAGGAGGGGACGGTGGAAAAGATTGTGGAAGAAAGTGCCCAAGAAGAACCAGCACAGGAAAATTCAGAAACCTCAGCCAACGAAAAGGACATAGAACAATCGGAAATGATTGCAGCCGTCAAAGAAGAAATCAGTCACGATTTACAGGAGACGATGCTGCACACTGTGATTCAACTTTTGAAGCCAGATGAAGACTTGGCGGAGGAACCAAAGCCGACCAATGACGAAGACGCAGGAGCGGAGGTACGGAGTCGAAGCGCCAGAGCAGCACCCAACAAGAAGGGCCGCGGGGGAACCGGGGACGAAGAAGTGGCTGGAGGCAAGAAGGGCTCCAGACGTACTGATCTGAGAAGTGGTGGTGATGACAAGGGTGGAAAGAATGGAAAGGCCGGAGGCGCAGAGAAGGCTGGAGGCCAAGGGCAGACTGGAGGCCAAGGGCAGACTGGAGGCCAAGGGCGGACTGAAGAGAAAGGGCAGACTGGAGGCCGTGGGCAGACTGGAGGCCGAGGGCAGACTGGAGAGAAAGGGCAGACTGGAGGCCAAGGGCGGGCTGGAGAGAAAGGGCGGACTGGAGAGAAAGGACAGGCTTCACAGAAAGGGAAGGCTGCACAAAAAGGGAAGGCTGGTGAAAAGGGAAAGGCTCAGGCTAAGAAATGGTGGGAAAAAAGCGAGGCGGAGATAGAACAAGACGTCCAAGAGGAGAAAGAGATGGAGAAAGCAGTTAAGGGGAAGATGAATAAATATGTGAGGCAAATAGTTGCGGAGTACCTCAGTGATGTGGCGGAGGAGGAACAAGATGAAGAGGAACAAGCAGAAGACGTGGCGGGAACGTCTGAGGCTGAGAGAAAAACCGCGAAGCTACAAAAGCTTTTGAAGCGAAGGGGCAGGGAGGCGACCAGGGGAGAGTCTTCTTCGGAGGCCGGGAAGATCAGCAGCGTGCAGGGCTCCAGCATCGCCCTCCTTGTGGCGGGAACCGCCATGCTGCTGCTCGCTGTCGGACTGATGGTGCAGACCAGGAGGATGATCAGGTGAGGAAAGAAATGTTATCCTCCATAGTCTGTGTTTCCAGTAGATAGTTGTACCAATGACCACACAAAGACCCTACAATATTTTTGTACCCATGAATGACAATTTTAACAAACCATATAGTTCTCTCTGGTTTAAGCTAGGTTTCCGTCAGTGAAAGGAAAAAAAATCACTTCCTCCGAGGCTCTTGTCTGGATGCTATCCTCCGTAGTCCATGGTAGCTATTGACAGTAGGGAGCCGGTGGCTTGTATTACGTCGCTATGTAATACCGTAGATTAACAATACCAGCTTTGTATTCCTATGGTTTAGAAACATCGTTGGCTAGATTTGTTGGCGCGCAATAGTTTGGTGGTCATCCATAAAGTCAGTGTTTTGCTAACTGAGTTTAATAATTTGCCCAACAGAGCCAACAGCATCCCCGGGCGCGCGGATTTTCAGTGGGCGGCGGAGGCAGGCACCGTACCGGGCAAGGCTCTCCACATCCAGTAGGCTACGGACCCGATCGACCAGCTACCAAACACATCTGACAGTGGGACTAGTACAATTCCAGCTCCGATAGTAAGAACGAGAATCTCTGTACGCTCTAATTTCTTTGTTGTTTTTGTCAACGTACTAAAAAAAATGTGAAAAATTGTACCTAATTGTAAACCTCAGAGGAATGCTCTTCTGCTCCCCCTGCTGTTGTACATTTGTGAAAAAAATGAGCAAATAAAGAAATAAATTCAAATTCAATACTACGTTTACATACATTTACATATTTTACGTTCTGTTTCAATGTCCCTAAGCCTAAACATGTTTTATTCAACTATCACCAAAGAATGCTAAAAATCATAATGGAATGTCCATCTTTTACCTTGAGTTTATTGGTATGTAACAGCTGTTTCACAAAAGAACTAAGAACTTATGACACTGATCTAATGTGTTTGAAAAGCGCGGGTTATGGACGAGTCAGTAGTATTGTGTGGTGTGCCCTGATCTTAGTCAATTGCACCGGTTACTTTATTAATGTAAAATGTTTGTTTTTTAAGGGTTTTCAAATCGCTATATGATCCATTCTACAATGGCAACTTGCAATCCGTCATTGTGAGTGCACCCAATGTAACAATCGCAGTAGTATGAAGTAGTAATCTGCCCAGACGATATTTGCACGTGTTTTGTCTTGAGACACTGGAATGTTTGTCGGGATGTGTTGTACGTGTAGAACGAAATACTTGTGAGTGACTTTCTGATGCTTTCGCTTCCTGTCATACATTTTGTACTTTGCGTTCCTTGTACCTGCAATACACGTGTGTAATAAACATATATAATCACATACAGTTCTGTCTTTTTTCAACCTTTTTATTTAACTTTGAAAATGTACAGTATGTAACAGTACAACTCTTTGGACTAAGCCGCTTTTCAAGAGTTCAAGGGGAGGTACTAGTAGGTCAGGGATCTTTTACAAATTCTTACAATAATCAGTCATAGAAATACAATATAGTTATATAGATACATATACATATAAGTCCATACAAAATTCAAACATTATCTGGATTCAATTCTTATTGCCATCAGTATCAACATCAAAGTTTAATTTCATAAATTATAGTTAGTCTAAGTGACTCGACGCAGTGTCTGTGCAAGTCTGTTTGATAGTAGTTTTCCGAGAAAACCAAATGTGTTTTGTACATTTTCCTCAATGACCTTGGGTAAAACTCCGGAGGAAGGTTAGGGTATGGGCCCAAAAAGTCCGTAGTGTCGCCCGAAGGGTCGTCAAGTCTCTGACGGGATCATGTGGCGTAGCGGCAGAGTGCTCGACTCGGAAATATCAAGAGGTCCCGGGTTCGAGTCCTGACATGCCACCGATCTTGTGCCCTTGGGAAATGCACTTTACACGACTTTCCTCACTTAACTCAGGTGAAAATGAGTATCGTATTGTCCCGTGTTGGTGACGGCATTAATATAGGAAAGTCGTGTAAAGTGCCTTTCCCAGGGGCACAAGATCGGTGACATCAGGCAAGATTCGAACCCTGGATCTGAGCCGAACACTCTACCGTTACGACACACGACATATAGGATTCTCAGGACACGTGGTGATGTCCAGATGTGTACTTAGAGTAAGGCCGTGTCTATACGGAATCACCCAAGGCGGTTTACATGTGGTTTACCCCCGAAGCCGGTTTCAAGTGGCTCTATGTGAACGCTCCGAAATCACATTGAAAGCGCCTCGAGCCCAAGCCACTTCTAGAGGTGGTTTCGAATCGGTTTCCCCGCATCATCGGCGCGATTTGCGTCTGAACGCAATGTGATTTCAATGTGACTTCGCCTGGTCATGGATTACGGGGTGATATTTCTTTATTTATATGCAATACCAACTTTTACGTGGCAGCAACTTAAAGAGCAGTAATGGTCAAATAATGTGTCCGTTCTAGGGCGAGCTTCACCGCCTCTGGCGGGACCACGTCGGCATTCGGCCGAGATACGCTGGGAGGGGGGCATCAGCAAGCAGGTCGTTGACCTCTGAAATTAATAACACGCTGCCCTGCGTGTTATCATCAAACAGCAATAAATGTAGCTCAAGCGCATTATGTTCGGACACGGTTTCACAGGTGTGTGTGGCACGTGGACCAGATGTGAGGATTGTGAGTTACCCGAATCGCGGTTTGGGTGATTCCGTATAGACACGGCCTAAAAGTACTGCTCTCGACCAGGTGCCGCCTCCCAAGGACGTGAATCCCGATCAGTCGCCGTGCCTCAATTAGAATTAAAAGGAAAAGAAAAAAAAAAGAAAAAAAGAAAAAAAAGAAATACAGACTTCGTCGCCGGTTCACCGGCTGCCCCGGTGCGATAAAAATTTGTGTCCGCTGGGTCTTTGCCCTTCACGGGGACATGTCGTGCTAGCTTAACTATGATAATCTAATAGCGTATACTCCACTTTAAAGTGGATTACAGAAACCCATTATTGAATCCCAGTTAAATTCATTATCCGTAGAGTAGATTTTAAGATTATAGCAGTTCCTTTTCAAACATTCCAGCCCTTATTGCATTTATTTCCTTTTTCAACACTTCCCAGGCCATTACGCAATGACGAAACCTACAGCGGGGGTTACTAGAAGACAGACGAAAAATGTCTAGACCATAAAAAATAATGGCTAGTAAACTGGTGGACGTGCCAACTACTAAGTACCTAATACCAGCTCAGAAAAGAACAATAAATAGTCATGCCTTCAAGTACCAGAGTTATCAACCATGGATTGAGGTGTTCAAAAACTCATTCTTTCCTAGAGCTATCGCAGAGTAGAACTCGCTGTCACCAAGTACAGTAGGGACATTTTTATTAGATAGCTTTGAAAAATGTGTAGAGTTGCAAGGATTAGGTGTAACAGGTCGTTCGGTGTAATGTTGCTAGCTGCCGCCGCGCCACATGCCTGCGAATCTGGTGTGTTACGCCAAATTCAAAGGGCTGTTACACCTAATCTCCAAGCAGATCCCTTTCGGTGGTAAGAAAGTATCCATTAGCCAGAGAGGGTCACCGGCCACCGACGGTTGGTGGGGGTACCGACAAAAAAAAAAAACAACAACAACGGCCATATATACAAAGCTAACCATCATTCACCCACAACCTCTGCGTGGGGAGTATGTTATACCGGCTATATACAGATACAGATACGTACACAGACTCAGATGCGTATACAGACGACAGTTGTCAAATTTTCAATTCACCCTTAGTGCTCCGCCAGTCACAATGTTTTGAAAAAACGATTTCTTAACTCCCACGGTGTGGCGAACATTAGGTGGGTTGATAAAGGCCGTTTCCATTCTTAATCTGCGGTGCTGGGAACGGGTTGTTCTGGGCCTAAGCCTGGATAAAGTGGTTAAAATCCCGTTAATGTGCCTTCTGTACGCTCGAGCTGACTCAGGATCAACTTAAAGTAACTGTACGTGCGGTCGTGTGGCGTAGCGGCAGAGTGCTCGACTCGGAACTAAGAGGTCCCGGGTTCGATTCCTGACATGCCACCGATCTTGTGCTCTTGGGAAAGGCACTTTACACGACTTTCCTCACTTCGCTCAGGTGAAAATGAGTATTGTATTGTTCCGTGTTGGTGGCGGCATTAATATAAGTTGAAACAACTTGAGTGTGCCGTCACCACGTCTTGTGATTAGATGTTGTAATATATAAAAAAAAGAACTGTACCATTGACGTGTTAGAAGAAACACCGCCACAATCACCTCTCCTTGGTAACACAGTAATAACAGGAGGAGCAAAAATCAAGGACGTTAGTACATTTTGTTTCTTTGTAAGGCCACAGCAAGTAATTTTCATGGATGACATCAGCGCGCGCATTGATTGTCCCCTGATTTAGAAAAAAAAAAAACAAGAAATTTTGTTACCCTCTGACAGTGGTCACCATGCCGAAAATGGGCAATGCTGTAACCTTGATGGCAGATAAATATGAAGAGAGGAGACAAGCACAAGGATCTGAATTTTTTTACTACTACTAAATGGATGTTGTAATAGTTGTCAATATTGTGTAACAGTTAACTTACCACAGTATATGCATCGTTTAATGTTTAACAAGGTTTATGATGTCAAAATTTGAAAATGTAAGGTGGAGGCTAGCCGGAGTCGACCTTCCACTATTTGTACCAAAAGAAACCTGCCTGACAAATTTGGAGGTCAGTATCTTTCAAATTTGTCACTGTTGGAAGAATATACTGACAAATCCAGCTTTGCAGTAGGGATAAAGTCTTGAGGTTTGAAATCAAGGTAAATGTGTTTTGAAGTGCTTGTTTCTGGTGCTTTCAGCGTAGAATTCCAATGGAAAGTCCATTTACCGGTCCCTATACCAGTCCCTTGGTCCGTCTTGAAGTCTGTTGGGTGCAATTCTTATGAAATCTCACAGGTGGCGCTGTGTCACCGCGTTCGGTGACGTATGACCAGCTCAGTAAAAAGAAACAAAGATGTCGATGTGGGAGCCTGGGGTGAAAAAACGCGTTCTGTACGCCGGTACAGGCGACGTGGTGGACTACCAGGAGGGCACAAAGGTAAGAAATCTAGCGACATCATAGTCTTACACCCTGTATAGTTCTGAATTCACCTCAGACTTCCTAGACGAAATACCTTTCGTACGATAATTTTGCTAGGGGGGAGGGGGGCGGTTCAAATGATTTGATTTTTTTTATAATAATGACTCTATTTACGTACATCATATATGTAGAAGGGCATTTTTTCTTATCTAAACTCAGGTTCAGGTCTGGATTCAACTTTCAAGTGCATAGCTATAGGTTTAGGTTCAGGTCCGGAATAACATTGTAAGTCCTATAGCATATTTCATCTGTACAATTTGTGTTGGAATAAATTTTAGCCTAGACGATACATTTACTTCACAATGTAGTGTTGATTTTCAATCTTCTGCAATATTGTTTTGTTCTACAATTCGGAAATACTTTCTGCAAATACACACTTTTAAAAAAGTCCAGGTCTAAACCCAAGGCCTTGGCAATTATATAAAATAGCATTTAGGCAAAATTTCATATGCAATATGAAAAATACACATGCAAAACTAATTGTATATTATATTATATTTTAGTCAGTTATTCATTAGTAAACACAAAAGCTCTGAAACACCATTGAACCCCTGTAGCCTGATTTTTTCAGTCTGCAAAATTGCAGCAGGTTGCATACATAATTTTTCTTCTGCAATATTGAAAATGTTTCTGAAAATGAAGACTGCAGATACTAAGTAGGTATTTCTAACACTAACAAATACAACTCAGGGCTCAAAATTAACGGTGTCCTGATGGCCAGTGACCACTGAAATTTAAGCTGGGACAACTAAAAAGACAATTTGGGACAGTTTGGGACAATAAAAAAAAAGAAGTCAACATCAGAATGTCAGCCCTTCTTTTGTTTGGCTCCAGAAAAAGCTACCCCAAATTTCCAGTTTACTCTGCAATTATAGTGTGCCTGGAAGTCAGAATGTAAGCAAAATATTTACTAGTAGCTGACTTCAAGTTCACTTCTTGAAAAGCAGGTTGGGACAGTTCATCCTCACTTTGGGAAAAATTTATTTTGGGACAGTGCTGGGACAATAGGAAAAAAGTTAGTTTTGAATTTGAGGCCTGCAACTACTTTTTTTCGTTTACGGACTTGTTTTACAAGAAGTTCTAGTAACAAAATATTGACTTCATGAACTGTAGATGAATCGTATGTTTTGAATGAATCGTATGTTTTGAATGAATCGTATGTTTTGAATGAATCGAATATAAATTTCTGTTTCATTACAAAAACAATGTTATTCTTTGAGTCTTAATACTAGTATACTTTGTTGTAGTTGTCTTCGTATACAGGATGCATGGTGTGCGGGGGAGGGGGGCGGTACGGAACAAAAGTGTTCGCAAGGAGATGAGTTCGCGACAAGATATTTGCGAAGTTAAAACTCTCGCGAACAAAAATGCATTTACAGTATTTATTTTCAACCCAGGCTGTGTTTCATTATGAGACATGTAAGTTGGATGAGCCGCCGACAGTTCTGGACGACAGTCGGTCACAGGAGAAACCCATGGAACTCATCTTCGGCAAGAAGTTCAAACTGGAGATCTGGGAGAAATGTCTGATGAGCATGAGAGTGGGGGAGGTGGCAGAGTTCATCTGTGAACCTAAGGTCAGTCAACACTAGTACTAGTACTCTCATCTGCCGAATAAACATACCCCCCGGAATAAACGTACCCCCCCGGACAAATCTTCAAAATCAAATAAACATACCCCGGAATAAATGTACCCCCCGGAAAATTACCAAAATTGACGGGTAACCTGTGTCTCTTGTACTAAAATGCACCCTTACTGATATATGCACAAATCTTTAACTGTTATTTGCAATTAGGAATTTAAATAGACAAAAAAAAAGAGCATTTAATATTTTGTTTTTTGATAAGCACCACCCATGACAATAGAACATTCATACGAATTTATGCACGCGGTGATTGCAAAAACCGGCCCGAAAATGACAAGTTTCTTGCTACAATATGCGTTTATAAACGTCTTCACGTCGATGATTTACAAGTCAATTTTTTTCACACGAAGTTGAAAAAAATTACTGGTTTTCAAAAAATTAATAAACGTACTGTGCAAAATAAGAACGTACTGGGTGGATGTTTGGGCCAAAAAAAATAAACGTACCCGTATGTTTATTTGGCAGATGAGAGTACTATTATACAGTGTTTTCACCAGGCTTTTTGAGCATATAGGGGCCCTTATGCTGTGATCTAGACCCTCTATGCTGTGATTTGGACCCCCTATGATGTCTTTCAACCAGCATAGGGGTGTTTTTTGGGGAGAATCTTCATAAATCTTGCAAGAAAATGAAAATGTAACTTTAGAATTAAGCTATAGCAAAGGGAAAACCTTAACTTCACAAAATCTGCCCCTCAAAAAGTGAGAACTTGCCTCAGGGGGTTATGAATTTCAATTTTTTGGCTCAATGTGTGACTTGCACCACAAAAGTAAAAATGTCCTATATATATAGTAACTGTACATGTACCTGACCACTATGCTGTGAAAAAATTCTGGTGAGAACCCTGTGATAGCTTTATACAATGTTAAGACAATAAGAGATGGTGTTCAAAAGTAACAAATAGTTTGGTGTAATGTAACCAGCTGCCACCGTGCCACGTGCCTGTGAAGCTGGTGTATAATAAAAATTTTGGGTCCACCATACAAAACAAAATTAATAAGTACTAGAATGAGAGCAAAAATGATTTTATTATTTTTCTGACACTTAGAATTAGATGTAATAAGATTACTAGTACTTAAGAATATGCTGTATACTACTATACATGTAACAATCTTTTTACATACGTAAACCTACGAAGGTATTTGGGTGCACCAGTGCACCCACAGAAAAAAGACTTGGGTGCACAGCTCCAAATTTGGGTGCACTAAGGTGCACATGCACCCAGTATTTCAAGCCCTGAGTATTGTTATGAATCGAAACAATAACCCAATTTTATTTATATGTCTGAACTGAAATCTTGAATTTCTGTTAACAGGTAGTTGTGCAGTACCCTGTTGTAGCGAAGAGTCTGCGGGATATCCGGCAGGGGAAACAGGACCGACCCCGACACTGCTGCGGCATGGCGTCTGACAACAGTCTGGGGTACCCTGACCTGGACCAACTGGTCAAGAACCCACAACCACTGGCCTTCATTATAGAACTGATCAAGGTTTACTGTTTACTCAGTATATTTAGGCCACACCAATTTAATTTGTTGGTTCTCGGATTTTGTCAGAAAAAACATGAAAATAAAAATAAAAACAGGTTTAGGCATCCTATTATAGCCCCAAATGCTATGATAGGAGCCATGAAGTCAACACAAAAGGTTGTGTTAATATTTAAACAATGAATTTTGAACTTTTAATCAAACCACTGCATTGATAGATGGAAACACTGCAACAGCTAGGAAGAAAAGGACTTTCCACAAATGTTGAGGGCAAAATATGAGCATTTTTGAGTTGATTCAGAACCAGAACCTTTTTTTTTGCAAATCAGAAAAAAAATGAAGAGGCGAATCCGAGAACCAACAAATTAAATTGGTGTGGCCTTAGGTCTAGGAAAAAATGTTGTGTTTCTTGTTTCCAGTCTGATCCTAGAAAAAAAAAATTTTTTGCGTGGACCCCTGCAAGGGACATAATTATTTCAAGCTGATCAACCATTTCTAGCTCCATGATCTGACACCTGAGGAATAAAACGTTGTACAATCAGTTTTCCACATAGACATTAAAAATAGAAGACTGTCCTCATGCAAGTCTTTGTTAAACTGTATTCTATTTTTAATTTGGCTCACTAGAGATTGCCAACAACTGAAAGGAAGAAGAAGAAAAAAAAGATAATTCCTACTTGTACTTCTAACCTTAATTTTTTCATGACTTAAGGCCACACCAATTTAATTTGTTGGTTCTCGGATTCGCCTCTTCGTTTTTTTCAGATTTGCAAAAAAAAAAAAAAATTGATTCTGGTCCTGAATCAACTGAAAAATGCTCATGTTTTGCCCCCAACAGTTGAGGAAAGTCCTTTTCTTCCTAGTTGTTACAGTTTTCCCATCTATCATTGCAGTGGTTTGATTAAAAGTTCAAAATTCAATGTTCAAATTTTAACCCAGCCTTTTGTGTTGACTTCATGGCTCATTCCGTAGCATTTAACTATTTTAAGCCTATAATAGGATGCCTAGACCTGTTTTTATTTTTATTTTTTTTTGCCCTGTCACTTCATATTTTTTCTGGAAAAATCCGAGAACCAACAAATTAAATTGGTGTGGCCTAAAGTTAAACAGGTATAACATTTTTTTTAGGCCAGCTTATCACAATATTAGCCAAAAGCTTGTGGTTTTGTGTTTTTAAGGCATCCAATGCAATTTCAAAGCAGTAAAATTAGATTTTTAGAGTCAGTGTTTTTTTGCAGTCAGTGTCATTCTTTTAATGCATTTACATGTGAGTTGAATTAATCCTAAATATCCCATATAGTATACAGTGTGAGGCAAAAAAATTGATGTCACTGACTAGTGGTGCATATATACTGGTTCACTGGACTTGGATCCGGACTTGTAAGAATGTTTAGGTTCATTCCAAAAAAACCTAAAAGTCAAGAACCGAGTCCGGACTTATTACCATAAAAGACCATTTCACGTACCCCTTTTCTTTCCAAACCACCTAAACCTTCCATAGATTGCAAAATCTTTGCTGCAAAATGAAGAAAAAATTGCCATCGTCAATTGGGCATCGTCAAGTACCGGCCTCCATGTTATGTGGCCAAAATTTCACCCAGACAACATTGCAAGGTTGCCAACATGCAATTTTGTGTATGCCATGGGTTTAGGTCGGGACTTACAAGTCCGGAACTGAACCTAAACCTCTGGACTTGAATCCGGACCTGAACCTAAATGTGGGTTTAGGTATGCATCACTATCACTGACAAAACTCGTCGCATGTTCCTTTGTTTAGGTGGAAAAGAAAGGAGAGTACAGTCAGGAGGCCTGGCAGATGACACCAGAGGAGAAAAAGGCTGCTCTGCCTCGGCTACAGGAGGAAGGTTGGTTTGTTACCTCTGTGAGGAGGTTATGTTTTACATTGTCCACATGTTGGTGCTTTTGCCTACCTTTATACATGTATAACTGTTATTTGCATTACTGTGACAGGATAATAATAAGGCCACACCAATTTAATTTGTTGGTTCTCGGATTCGCCTCTTTATTTTTTTCTCTCACACTCACTCACTATCCTGGTTTTGCAACAAAAAAAAAAAAAGATTCTGGTTCTGAATCAACTCAAAAATGCTCATATTTTGCCCCCAACAGTTGTGGAAAGTCCTTTTCTTCCTAGCTGTTGCAGTGTTTCCATCTATCAATGCAGTAGTTTGTTTAAAAGTTCAAACTTCATTATTTAAATATTAACATAACCTTTTGTGTTGACTTCATGGCTCCTATCATAGCATTTGGGGCTATAATAGGATCCCTAAACCTGTTTTTATTTTTTTCGCCCTGTAGCTTCATGTTTTTTTCTGACAAAATCCGAGAACCAACAAATTAAATTGGTGTGGCCTAAATAACAAGAATGTGTTGGTGGATTTTCTTGATATTTTGTATTTAAGCTACAATGTAGTGTCAGCAGGCAGATTGTTTGATCATGAGCCCCCTAGCAACTTGTTAAGGCAGCAAACCTTACAGGTTTTCTATCGTTTGATCTTCTTATATATATATATATCTATGATGATGATACAGTCACCAAATTGATGTGGTAGATTGCTGACAATGAAGTGGCAGAAGTTTGGGCCTCCTAGCAGCTTCTATGGTATTGCACCTAAGGTTCTTGTTAGGAAGTTAGAGTCAGTATGGATGAATTGGCATGTTTTTAATATGTAAGTAGCTAAGGTGGTTAATATGAGCAATCTTAGAGACTACCAGTTTTGTTTGCATGGATATATGCATAATAAATATTATATTATGATATATAATGAAAAAAAAAAATAAACAAAGAAGATGCTGGTTGCACATAAATGTTTTTAACATTTTAAGCATTAAAGCATTGCATTATACTATATCATTCAGCAGTATAATCAAAGACTGGATGCCAGAAGTTCGTACACTAAGTTACAGTGTGTGTGAACTACTATGAATGCTGTCCTTCTTGAATGTAATCAGAAAATGTTATATTCTGTTGTCACCAGTGTCCTTATAACAGTTCTCCCAGTAGGGAACAACTTCTAGTATAACATCTGTGTCCATAATTTCACCAGGGTCCATAATATCGCCATCTTGAGAAATAGTGTGCTTTAAGATATTTACTGCAACATACTTTTGGTATGTACTCCTTCACACATCAAATGTACATACCTAGGGTCTGTTGCAGTAAAAATATCTTAAAGCACACTATTTCTCAAGGTGGCAATATTATGGACCCTGGTGATATTATGGACACAGATGTTAAGTTCTAGTGTTCTACAAATTGCAACAGTTCCACAGAGTAGCTAGCATGTATTCAGAAGCCCCCACCTAGCGAGACTACAATTTTTTCTTTGCCTGTGATGGCAACATATAGATGTTTAGTAAGACCATTCGGAATCAGATTTAAAGTGTATTGAATGTACATTGCATGCTGGTGTATTTCATCATGAACTTGGTGTTTCTTCACCATTCTCCCACCAGGAAACAACTTGTACAAGTTAAAACAGTTCCACCAGGCAGCTGATAAGTATGCCGAGGCTCTGGGCTGCATCGAGCAGCTTCTGATCCGAGAGAAACCCGGAGACGCCGACTGGATGAGCCTAGACAACAGGAAAATCCCACTTCTCCTGAACTACGCCCAGTGTAAACTCATCCTGGGGGACTACTACCCTGTTATAGAACACACAACCACTGTCCTTACCAGAGATGAGAGTAAGTGCAGCCTTATAACATCAAGAAAGTTCATCAGTGTTGGTAGTTACATGTTTAATAGCCTCCGTAGTAGGCCTATAGAACTGGGGGTTTGGTGGTCTTCGGCTGTTTTCTGACTAGCACAGTTCTAAACGGGGGTAATTCAACCAGGCTGGCTATGTTGTCTACATGTACATGCAATCAGAAAATAGCACATAAAAGCTCCCAAAGACCCTGAACTTGAAGACCCCCAAAACCCCAGTTTTTGGCATGCTATGGAGGCTACATGTTTAAAGTAAATCTTCTGTTCTAATACAGAATGTTCTCACCTAGAGCTTTTCATCGATCAGTTCATCTGGTCTTTCTCGTTTAGGGTTCGAAATTCATTTTGGGGAACAGGTGCACCACTGCACCCAACCTAAAAATTGGGTTCACAGGAAGTATTTGGGTGCACTGGTGCACCCACAGAAGAAAATTGGGTGCACAGCTTTTCTGAAGTCAGTCTTCTGAGGAAGACCAGTGCTGACTGGTTCGAAGCTCTAGATAAAGCTTTTGTGTTGGAACAATAAGTTTAACCTTATAGTATAGGAGGCACATGTAATCTAGTTTGATTCAATATAATTGTTTTTTTACCTTTTATGACTAGGTTACCTACTAAGATGTCTTAAAAGAAATGTCTTTGATATATTTGCACTTCCTTGTTGGTAAAAAAAAATTAATCAGACTCACACATACTTTTTAGACTTGATTTTCATGGATGTTATTCCGAGTCGGGCTATGTTAAGCCGAACCGGTATCCTCCATATACATGTAGTAATTGTAAAATAATCACTCTGTATTTGCGGTAGCAAAATTTGGCATTTTGAGAAAACTGTTCACGGACCTACATGTTCACAGTGGTGGCAGGAACAAAAGGAAGTCAATGAATTACTTGTTCGCGGTAATGAAAAAAATTGTGGTATAAATTAAAGTGACCGCAAAAACCACAAATGTAAAAGTGCAGCAAATATAAAGTGATTTACAGGATTTCCCTTTCCAACACATCCAGATGAGTTTTTATGCTAACACATGCAATTCTTCCCCCACAGGGAACGTAAAAGCGTATTTCCGGCGCGGGAAAGCCCACGCGGCCGTCTGGAACGAGAGAGAAGCGCAGGCGGATTTCTCCAAGGTATTGGAGCTGGACGCAAGTCTGAAGGGAGCCGTGAGAAAGGAGCTGAAACTTCTAGAAGACAGAATAAAGTCGACTGAGAAAGAGGAGTGGGAAAAGTTGAAAGGAAAGAATGTGTTTGGATAATAAATGTGTTACCTACGGCTTTAGTGAAAAAATCATTCCACCCAATTTTTCTTTTGTTTGCATAATATATACAGTCAGGGCTGAAAATGCCACCTGCATAAAAAATTATGAAGGTTATTGCAGGTAAAATTGGAGCTGTACAGGTATTTCTGATGTCTACCTACACCTAACCTGCACTGGTCCATGTACTGGGTATATGCAGGTTAGTGCTGGTAAAATTATCTGTTAGGCCACATCAATTTAATTTGTTGGTTTTCGGATTCCTCTCTTCATTTTTTTCTGATTTGCAAAAAAAAAAAGATTCTGGTTCTGAATTAACTAAAAAATGCTTATATATTGCCGCTAAGAGTTGAGGAAAGTTGTTTTTTCCATCTATCAATGCAGTGGTTTGATTTAAATTCAAAATTCATTCTTTAAATATTAGCCAAGCTTTTGTGTTGACTTCATGGCTCCTATCGTAATATTTAGGGGAACATGTATAATAGGATGGCTTGACCTGTTTTTATTTTTCATTTTTTTTGCCCTGTCGCTTCATATTTTTTCTGAAAAAATCCAAGAACCAAGGAATTGAATTGGTGTGGCCTTATAAAATGATTCAATATGTCCAATGTATATGCTTCCTCTATGTAATGGCAAGGATTTGGTTGATATAAATACTAGTATATTGCTAGCATTCTTACAAATTAATGATAAGACTACTATAAGAGCCATACATTTTTCCAGTATTTCCATATACATGTAGTTAGCAACTAAAATATTAAGGAACTTCTTATTAAGGTAAAAGAACTTTAATGATACTGCAGAATATTAACATTCATTTTTACGATTCTGTTTTAATTTTTGACAGCATGCTGTTACATTTGTAAGTGTTAGTCTTATGTTTTTTACTCATGGATTTGAATTACCTCCGTAAAGTGGAGGTATTGTTTACGTCATACTCTGTGTTTTCAAATATTGCCAGTTTTCATATTTAATAGCAATTTGTTTTGGCAACATGGCAATCAAAATACACTATCCAGTATTGTTAATATTAAATGGTAATGCTGTAATGTTGCAATATTTTATACACTTTCACAGTTACTGAGGGAACTTTGCTTTAGCAGGTAAAAAAAATGGCAGAAATTTTTAAGTACTGTGAGGTATTATATATATTTATGTTCGCCTTCCCAGAAGTAAAACATTGATTCGTTTCCTTTTCCACCAAAGGTCAATGACCCGGACCAGACGTCTGTCACCATGGTAACTAGTGTTGTAGCAGACACCCGGTACCCTGTGGTGTTGGGCTACTTTATGTAGCAAGTTGCAGGACAGAAACGGACTCTTGTCACCATATTTATGAATCTGTTTGAGGAAAAATAAACAGAGCAGTAGATTGTTATGTTCGACCATGTGAAGGTAAACATTATACATTTGCTTGGCAAATGTTACCTTTCTAGTTAAGTACATGTATCCACTTAGGCCACACCAATTTAGTTTCTTGGTTAACGGATTTTTCCAGAAAAATAATGGAGCGGGCGGGCGAAAAAAAAAATAAAAATAAAACAGGCCTAGGCATCCTATTATGGCCCAAAATGGTACGATAGGAGCCATGAAGTCAACACACCAGGCTGGTTCAAAATTTAAACAATGAATTTTGAACTTTTAATGATACCATTGCATTGAAAGATGGAATAACTGTAACAAGTAGGATGAAAACGACTGTTTTCAACTGTTCAGGGCAAAATATGAGCATTTTGCAGTTGATTCTGAATTTTTATTTTTATTTGCAAATCAGAAAAAAATGAAGAGGCGAATCCGTTAACCAAGAAATTAAATTGGTGTGGCCTTAGTGCTATGAAGGATAAGGCCTTATAGTACCTCTAGCTAAATAAAGACAATCAGTATGTTTCTTATGTGTCCGCGTGCAGTTAATTCAGTAGATTTGTGAGTACAACCTACGTCATCAAAATGTCAACCAACCAGGGACAGTAATTCGTTCTAGCATCCATTAGGCCACAGCAAGTAATTTTTATGGATGACATCACCGCGCGCATTAATTTTCGCCTGATTTTGGAAAAAAAACCAAGAAAGTTTGTTGTCTTCTGACAGTGATCAACATGCCGAAAATGGGCAAAGATGTCTGTTGCCATGCCGGAAGGTGGATGACAGATAACTATGAAGAGAGGAGACATGAAAAGGCTCTGATTTTATGTTTTGTTTCTTACTTTGATACAGTGATATGTAATTTTGACTATATATATGTATATGTGATGTTCCCACTGAATCAACACCATTTGTACAATGATTGAGCCAAAATTTTAGAATGTAGGAACCTTGTTTTTTCGGCCCGTCTTGTTTTTGTTTTCGCCCGCTCGCATTAGATTTGGAGTCTGAGGAGGATGTCATCCATAAAATTTACTTGCTGTGGCCTTAGGGAGGTCAATGTGAACCTAAGGCCATGTTGATTTGATTATATGGATGACATCCTCCGGGAGCCCCAAAACTGATGCGCGCGTGCGAATAAAAAAAAAGTTTTGCAAAAAAAAAAGTTCTTTTCATTATGAAATCTACGTGGTCATGAGGGTTGAGCAAATGGCACAGAATATGGTTTGGCGAATAATCTAGTCTTCAAGTTCATTTCTTTACAATTTCGTCTTTTTTCGTTTGATTTTGGCGTTCTACGACATTGGTATAGTTTTTATTAATTTTTTTTTGTAACTAATGGTATATTTTTGCTCATTTTGCAACTGTTTTGTACAATGTACAGTATGGTTGAAAACTTTTTTTTTTTTTTGGAAACGGCCTAAAATTCATGCGCGCGCGGATGTCATCCATATAATCAAATCAACATGGCCTAACTGAACAATAGGCAGATTACATGTATAGCTCAGGATCATTTATAAAGTCCCTGTGTGTGGTCGTGTGGCGCAGTCGGTAGCGCGTTCGACACACACCCAAGAGGTCGCGGGTTCGCATCCTGCCGATGTCACCGATCTTGTCAGCGCCCTTGGGAAAGGCACTTTACACGACTTTCTTCACTTCACTCAGGTGTAAATGAGTACATAGCTTCGGTTAGGGACATCCCTAGGACGTTAAATGGAGGTCACGTGTTTGGGGAATAGTGAAAAAAACAGCTCACTCTATCATTGAAATCCTCACAAAAACGCAGAAATGCCATTTCAGAAGGTTCAATTTCAAAATTTCCCGGGGGAGCATGCCCCCGGACCCCCCTAGGAACCGGGCGTCTTCGGCGCTCACCTAGCGCCTACGGCGCTCGCTGGTGGTCCTTCATGATCAGCACTGGGAAGAACCCCCCCCCCTCATTCAAAATCCTGGCTACGGTCATGACATGCTTACCTAAAAGGTCGTGACCTAAGGCAGCGACTGTAAGATCTGGTACAACCGGTACTCACGAACTTCGATTGACTTGCACGCCATGTTTGTAACATGTTGGACGATCTCATCTCACTTCTTATAAGGGACATAGTCACTAAAGATGCAGGTTCGTCAAAAATGCCTAGATGTTTTTTTTTTTTTTTTACACATGATGCATGTATTGCCGACTAATGTTGTTTTTTCTCAAAAATACGTAACGCAGTTTTAGAATGTACCCCCCTCGTTGCTTCGCAATGTGATGTTCTTTTTTTTTTGTGATGTTACCAAAGATATATTAGTTTATCTAAATTCTCAATTTAGGCATTAAAAAAACCTGGAGGTCACACTGTCCGTCCATGGTTAACATTCTATATAGACGCCCCAAATTTCGAGTGCGCGAAAGGAGGACAATGAATTCTATATATTGTTGTTTAATGAGTAAAAAGTCAGATAAAACGTTACGTGTCCAACGTTACTCAGCCCAACCCAGCTCCTCCCAACATAGCTAGCATGCCATTCGGTAGATGATGCCACCTAGCCAGGAGAGAGGGGTGTATACATGAGCCCTGTAAACTACTAGTAACTAGGATGACACTCATACTAGAGTAAACTGTGCCATTTTTCAATATTTCCGTGGACGGCACAACTTTCATTAACTGTTTTCTTTCTTTTTTTAACTTTAAATACCATGAAATAACTAGTAAGTCATAGTCATAATGCTTTCGCCCCCGTGGCGTCATTTCAAAAATCAGGATAGACCAATAAGATGTCACCGACAAAACGACATCGGGTGATCACTTAAGCTTGTGACAGCACCGGCCATTGTCGTCAAACGAACAAACTCTCCACTCCGCGAGTTAAATTTTTCGGACGGATTCATAGTCTGAAGCTAACCGTGACTCTTCCAAGGTAAGCATCACTTCCAGATGTTCATTAGTAAATAGATATAGGCAGGGGGTACACGAAAACTTGTAGACATGTCGAAACAAGTGCTACTACTCTACTGTATTGTTAAACTTTACCGTGAGGATAGGTAACAGAAGGTACGCTGATATTCTGATCGAAGTCTTTCATTCCAATGTTTAAAACACTTGTAACAACAAGATATCTTTACGATAATTGTACTAGGTAATAGGTAATTGTACGGTTACAGTCGTCGTAGGTCGTCGTGCGATTTTTATATAGGATTGCCATGCCCCCTGGGCTTCAGAAACAACCGCCGGCAAGGCACTAAGACAGTCTTTTTGGTTACAAGATACTTTACTCATGCTATTGTAAACAGCCTTGCAGCTCAGTTTTCTTTAATTTACGGCCATCTCGAGGCATATACGAAGTGCTGTTTATAATATCATGATATGAACTAATAAACCAGTCTACTATATAGTCCCATTTTGCACGACTATTCCGTGGATGCAACTAGCATGTGATCGTATGTGCGTAAGACAATCGCACGACAATCTTGACCACTGCCTAAATCGTATTTTAAAGTTAAAAGTGATTGAATATTCAATATACTGTACGTTAAATCCTGGGCCTATATCGTCAACAAGGGCGGTGCCCTTAACAGCTAAATGTCAGAACGGCACAAAAAAAATGTGACTGGACTAGGTCGTGCGTCTGTTGAATGGACAGCTCTTGCCTGAGGACAATTCAAAGATACAACAATGTCGAATTTTACGAGCTTGTGTGAGAGAGAGCTAGTCAAAGTAATTGTTATCCAATCTGATATATGTGAAAGACACAAAGTGGTTCCAGTTCTGCTTAACTAAAACACTCCATAGTTGGTAAGGGAGACGCTATATTCCATGTTCTATCAT